TTTACATTTAGGACTTCAGTCTCTCTGGAGCTAACCTTTCCATCTGTCCTTACTGAGGTACCTGTATCTTCTGTAGTCACGTCAGTTGTTTTAAAATTTCAAAGCCATATTATTAGGAACATAAATGGACACATTCTCTGCATCTTCTTGAGCTGCTGTTCTTCAGTATAAATGTTCCTTTTTGACCCTTGTGATGTTTTCTTGACTTAAAGTGTCAAAAAACAATATTCAGTTTACTACTTCAGGTTTTTTGTTCCTCTTTGGTATATCTATCCCATTTTTTTTTTTTTTTTTTCCTTAATCCCATTCTTAAATTTTTCAAAATTTCTGTCTCTTTTGGTTGGTTGGTTTGATTTTATAACAGCTTTATTGATACGTAATCCACATATCATGCAATTCATCCATTTAAAGTATACAATTCAATGATTTTTAGTATTTCAGAGTTGTGCAACTGTCACCACAATCAACTTTGGAACATTTGCATCACTGTAAAGAGAAACGTGGTGTCCTTCAGCTGTGATTCCCCAATCCCTGTGTTCCCTCCAACTCAAAGCAACCACTAACCCTTCTGTCTCTTTGAGTTTGTCTATCTGATCATTTCACATAAATGGAATCATCAATATGTGGTCTTTTGTGATTAGCTTCTTTTACCAAATATAACAATTTCAAGATTTATCATGTTGTGGCATATATCAGTATTTTATTTATTCTTATTGCCGAATAATATTCCATTGCATGGATATACCACACATACCACATTGTGTTTATTCATTCATTAGTTGATAGATATTTCAGCTGTTTCCACTATTTGGCTGTTATAAATAATGCTGCTGTGAACATTTGTGTACAAGTTTTTGTGTGGACAGTTCCCTTGGGTATATACTCAGGAGGAGAACTGCTGGGTCATATGGTATTATAACTCTGTGCTTAACACATTAACTGCCATGTGAGTTGCATTTAACTCACGCTAGTTTCGAGCCCCAGGCCTCGTGAAGCATATGTAACTCACATGTCTCTTCACCTTGAGAGCCACGAGAACTGTTTTTCAAGTTGCATATAACTCATGCACAAAAAACAATAAAAAATAACAAATTTTCATTAAATTAGAAAGGATCGTTTTGCTTTTGAAGTTTTTATTCCATTTTCGTAATAAAACACTGTGGCCCCAAGGAAAAAATTTTTTTTTCTGGTGTGGCAATGTGTTAATCTTTTGAGGAACTGCCAGACTGTTTTCCAAAACAGCTAGGCCATTTTATATTCTCATCAGCAGTGTATGAAGGTTCCCATTTCTCTACATCCTCACCAACACTTGTTACTGTCTTTTTGATTGTAGCCGTCTAGGTTTTGTGATAAGGATGCAAACAGAAGGCCAGAGGTCTTCAGGGACGTAGTGAATGTGAAGTTGTGTCTTATTTTGGCTTTTCCTTTGATTTTTATGTGTGCATCATTTTGTAACATACTGCTTGTGATTTTTAGTTCTGAGATCTGTCAGTATCACATTAGTTTTCCAGGAACCTGAATTTCTCAATCAAGCTTTGAAAAAACATTTTCTGACTGGCTCATGTTTTAGTCTTTATTGTAATAATAAAATGCATTCAGAAAGATGTTTTCAGGCTGGGCATGATGGCTCACGCTTGTAATCCTAACACTCTGGGAGGCCAAGGCGGGCGGATCGTTTGCTCTCAGGAGTTCGAGACCAGCCTGAGCAAGAGTGAGACCCCCGTCTCTACTTAGGAAGGGACAGACAGGTGTGTGCAGGCGGTTCCAGCACCAGGGAAGTGGGATTATGCAGAAGTGAGCGAGCCAGGCGGTCTGCCCTGTGGTCTTCAGGTCCCTATAACAGCTGTAGCATTCGATGTGGGGCTGTTATTTGAATTGAACTGTTCCTGTCTGCTCTTCTTCTGCAGTGATAGGAACAGTCCTTGCTGTAAGAACTGTCAGTTTGAGACTGCCCAGAAGAAGTGCCAGGAGGCTATTAATGCTACTTGCAAAGGCGTGTCTTACTGCACAGGTATGTGCTCTTGTTGCTTCTCTTGGAATTCTGTGGCTCAAGTGTATATGCGTGTGTTTGAAAAACAAGATTATATTTTGTCCGGACGAAAGCAATCCTTTTTTAACCTCACTTGCAGAGCCGAGTTTATGGGCCTCTATAGTTGACATTGGTGTATGTGAGACCCATTTTTTTTATATTTCTCCTTCATTCTCATCACTCTCCTTCTCTTTTCCCTCACAGACATCCATCCTACTGTGGTTAGTATATGCCTGGATATGTGTATATCTTTGAAAGATAAACAGTGTTATTTTGTCTATTTGTGTTTTAATGTGCCAAAATGGTATTCTGCCTTAGAACTACTTTTTAAAAATTCAGTACCATGTTTTTAAGAATTATCTATATTGTGCCACACAGTCTGTCTACGTATGTGTCTGTATGTAGCTCACTGTTTGGGCACCTGCAGAGTGTTTACTTGTGGGATTTACTATTAATGTTCTGCTTATCCATTCACCAAGTGGTAGCTACCTGGATTGCCTTCATCTCCTTGACACTATAGCTAGGACTGTGATTAACACCCTCCTGTGTTCCTTCAGGTGTCTGTGTAAGAGTCCCCTGGGTGCATGCTGGGGAAGGGGTTGCCTAGTCACAGCGGCAGGGACTGCACTAGAGCACCTCTCTAGGAAGGCACTGCGGGTGCCTTGTGCCCAGGGCTCCTGCATGCCCGTGTCCCGGGCCACACACGGTGTTACCCAGCTGTCTTATTTTTGCCAATGTGAGGAGTATAAAGTGATTTCTCATTCTTATTTACATTTTTCTTGAACATCTCTTTATATTTTGTGAGCTATTCAGATTTCTCCTGTGAATAGCCAGTTCATATATTTGGTTCTTTTTTTAAATTAGGTTGCATTTTTGCTCCTGAGGATTTGGAGGAGTTCTTGCATAATAATCCATTTGGGTTTGCATATCCCTCTCCTTTATCTGTGGTCCTTTTTGGAACAGAAATCTTTAATGTAATCAAATCCATCGTTTTGTTTGTGTGTGTGTTTATTTCTGAATTGTGGACAGTTACAAAGATATTTTCCACAGCTGCTTCTGTTAGCTTCATAATTTTTCCTTTTACATTTAGGACTTCAGTCTCTCTGGAGCTAACCTTTCCATCTGTCCTTACTGATGTACCTGTATCTTCTGTAGTCACGTCAGTTGTTTTAAAATTTCAAAGCCATATTATTAGGAACATAAATGGACACATTCTCTGCATCTTCTTGAGCTGCTGTTCTTCAGTATAAATGTTCCTTTTTGACCCTTGTGATGTTTTCTTGACTTAAAGTGTCAAAAAACAATATTCAGTTTACTACTTCAGGTTTTTTGTTCCTCTTTGGTATATCTATCCCATTCTTTTTTTTTTTTTTTTCTTAATCCCATTCTTAAATTTTTCAAAATTTCTGTCTCTTTTGGTTGGTTGGTTTGATTTTATAACAGCTTTATTGATACGTAATCCACATATCATGCAATTCATCCATTTAAAGTATACAATTCAATGATTTTTAGTATTTCAGAGTTGTGCAACTGTCACCACAATCAACTTTGGAACATTTGCATCACTGTAAAGAGAAACGTGGTGTCCTTCAGCTGTGATTCCCCAATCCCTGTGTTCCCTCCAACCCAAAGCAACCACTAACCCTTCTGTCTCTTTGAGTTTGTCTATCTGATCATTTCACATAAATGGAATCATCAATATGTGGTCTTTTGTGATTAGCTTCTTTTACCAAACATAACAATTTCAAGATTTATCATGTTGTGGCATATATCAGTATTTTATTTATTCTTATTGCCGAATAATATTCCATTGCATGGATATACCACACATACCACATTGTGTTTATTCATTCATTAGTTGATAGATATTTCAGCTGTTTCCACTATTTGGCTGTTATAAATAATGCTGCTGTGAACATTTGTGTACAAGTTTTTGTGTGGACAGTTCCCTTGGGTATATACTCAGGAGGAGAACTGCTGGGTCATATGGTATTATAACTCTGTGCTTAACACATTAACTGCCATGTGAGTTGCATTTAACTC